AATTTGATTTTCTTGCCAAAAAACTGGATGCCAATTGATTCCATTCCAAACTTGTTCCCCACGTTTTCCTTCCTCATATATGGTAACTTAATTTGGGGCATAATCCCAACAAATCCCACATTTGATTTTGCTTGGTGATTCTTCTATTTGCTGAGAATAGTTGTGATCTTTCGATTTTAATGCAGAATTGAAAAGCCCATCTGGTAATTTGGTTCAAATTGTTGCTTGGTTAATCGGGATAACTGGGTATACCCTTCTGAGATCCGATGGTGAAGGAAACGGAATACTACGATGTTCTGGGTCTGAGCCCCACAGCCACCGATGCCGAGATTAAAAAAGCTTATTATGTCAAGGTATGGAAAATGCGTCAACTGATTAAATTCATGGAAGGGTTCTTAACTTCTTTTGTAAGTCTTTATTAATTAAATTGATTTTGCTTTCCTTCTCGTTATTATCATTTTTTTTTTCTGTTTGATAGAAGAATTTTGGGGTTTAGGGAGCTCAATTTTAAAGAAATATGATGCTTTGACTTCTACGCTGCATGCAAATCTTTTTCTCCGAACATGTTAATCCAGCACGTTGCTGCTGAATTTTCAGGTTACGTAGTAAGATCTTTATGAGGTGAACTACATGTTATAGAAATTTAACAGAGAAAAAACTTCAAGTTCAACTGAAATCAGGAAATTTGCCTTTTTTAGAATATTATATGGCAATACGATATAGGTTTCTGCAAGGAGTTTCTGCTGACATTTAGTTACGTATATGAAATTTTACCTCCCATTCTTAATTATTTCAGAAAGAGAATTATGATCTATCCCATTTGAATGTTGACTCATGCTGGAGTAAATGTGTTTCCTGAAGCAAGTTGTTTTACAGGCTTAATAGAGTTACTCAAGAGTCTGACCTTTTAGAAGTGCAAAAACCTTAGACATTTGTAGTAGCTGAGTTTACATGCTCAAACAAGGTGCAACTCTTGCTGCTGAATCGTGGTAGATTCTGCTGCTAACAAAAGGAAGAGGGAATAAGCTTGTGACATTAGTCTTTTACAAGATGTTCAAAAAGTAATGTGCTAGTGGTGAATGAATGCAAGTTTATCATGAATGAATGAATAACACCAGGCCGGATGCTTTTGCTTTAACTTTTTTCTAAACGAAGGGGTAGTTTTGAACCAGTTTTCCTTCTGTAAATGACTCCTATTTGAAGGACTGTCTTGGAAAAAATTTCAATTTTTATTCAACAGATATAAGATAATATTTTTAGCAGTTGGTTTGGTAGGAGCTTACTCTGACAAATGCATTTAGGTTTTGAAACAAGTTCACAAGGACTGATCTCTGAGTAGTTTGCTGCCTAAGCCTAAAATGATAGGTATACTGCACTGTCCCATATAACAATCCCATTAGCTTTTCATTGACTAAACATGACAATTCCATTATCATTTCTTTACCAAAATTTGAAATTCAAAAAGTGCACATTGGGTCCTTCAACTATGAAAAGTTATCGATTTGGTCCTTTAGCTTTCGTGAAGGAGTATAAAGAAACTTTTTGGGATATTATATCATGACAATTGACAACCAAATAAATAACTTAAAATATTTAATCCTTAGAAGGGAGAAGGTTGGATCCGAAATTATAATTACCATATACTGGTTATGGTAGATAATTAAAGTTAAAAGAAAAACTAGGGTTTCTAGTTTTAAGTTTAATTACAAGATGATTGCAATTTCAGAGTAACGTAAATGATGTTTTTGGCTATGATGTGACAAGGATACTTCGTTATGGACGAGGGATGGTGCTCAGTTGAGAGTCGTGGTTCTTATGGGGGTGAGTTTGTGGCGGTATATACGGCAATGGTGGAGTGACTTTCGTGATAGACTGACTTTTGTATTGGGGAATGACAACACATCAGCTTTTAGGATGATTGTTGGTGTGAAGATCAACCGTTTAAGGTGAGATTTTCTTCTTTGTATCGTATTGCGTTGGTGCCGTCTGCTATGGTGAATGATGTCTTAGATGTTCATAATGGGAGTTCAGTTGGAACGTTGCTTTTGGCCAGAGTTTGCAAGATTGAGAATTGGATGATTATGCTATGTTCTTAACATCTCTATACGAGGTACACATCAGGGTAGGAGAGGGTGATTGTAGCGGGTGGCGGTTGACACAGGATGGTAGTTTTTCAGTTCGCACTTATTTTAGATGTTTATTGGGACTTGTGGAGAGTTCATTCTCCTGGAAGATGGTTTGGAAATGTAAATTGCTCCTACGAGCGGCATTTTTACTATGGACGGTGGTCAGAAGACAGGTGTTAACGGTGGATAATCTTCATATTAGAGGTTTTTATATTACGGAGTGGTGTTATATGTGCAAGAGGGATGAAGGCGGTTGACCACTTGTTTCTTTATTGTGATCTCATTCGTTTGTTGTGGAATGATATTCTGGCGTTGTAACACATAAACTGGGTGTTGCTGATACGTGTGGAAGACGCGTTAAAGACATGGAGGATAAAGTTTCGAGATAAGGATGCAAACTGGTTTGGGACTTTATTACGGGTTGTATCGTATGGTGCGTATGGAGAGAGAGAAACAGCCGCTACTTTGAAGATTTAACACGGACAACAGAGTAGATTAGAGAATTGTTTTATTTGACATTGTATAATTGGTTTAATGTTGCGGCTACTGGGCATATAGATGGCATGCCTAATTTCATGTTGTTACTTTCTGATTTAAAGTGATAATACACTTCATGTGGATTATGTATTGATTAATAAAATTTTCGATTATCTTTCCAAAAAAAAAAAAATGCATTGTTCTTGTATGGTTCCTGTTTTCAGTCTTGTTCTTTTACCATGTTTGGAATTGAAACTAAATAAAAATGAAAGAAGTATCAGTCCTATCCACGCATCTAAATATGCTTCTTTATCCATTTTGTTTGTGGTTGTTGCAGGCTAGACAGGTCCATCCAGATAAAAACCCAAACGATCCTTTGGCAGCACAAAATTTTCAGGTGAAACTCCCTCCAGATTTCATTAGGAGGCTTTCTAGTTTTTGCCGCTCTGTGGCATGTTCTTTTACGTGTTTCTGTCAGAACTTGGATGAAAAACATAGCTAAAGCATATTTTGTTTGTGGCCTTTGTTTCAGATGCCGGCTTATTTTATCACTTTATTGCTGTCTCCTGGTTAATTTTATGTTTTCTACTAGTCACATGTTATCGTGGCACTCCTTTTGTGTTCTATTTTGTCTTATGTTTAACTTATTATGTGTGAGTCAGAAAGATGTGCAAGTCTAGGACTGAGATTTGCTCTAGCTTCAAGAAAGTCAGACTTAAGAAACTTCAGTTAAGCATTAGTTTCAATTTTTTATTTATTTATTTTTTCTTTGGATTGAATATTGATGATGGTTCTGGGCAGAACATAGCCTTGATTTTCATGTGCTTGTTTATCGTTTTCAGTTCATATATACAAATGGTTGTTCTTCGAAAACACAAGTCCTTTCCCTGGAGTAGCTTTTAGATGCCTTAGGATCCTCATCACAAAATCCACAAGCTATTGTACAACTCCAACAAATATGCAATGTCTGCCCGAGTATGAAATAGATAAATCAATCTTCCCATGTCTTTGATATCTCCCTTTGTCTACTGG